TTTGCACAAACTGTCATCAGTTTAATGGGTTATAAGATGTTATTTACAAGCCTCATGGTGACATCAAATAAAAAAATACATTAAGAGATACACAAAAAATATAATTCAAGAAATTAAAACATACCATCAGAGGAAATCACTTTCACAAAAAGGAAGACAAGAAGGAAAAAGAAAAGGCCACAAAACAACAAAAACAAATAACAAAATGTCAGTAGTAGGTCCTTACTTATAAATATTAAATGTACATGGACTAAATCTTCAATCAAAAGCCAGAGTGGCTGGATGAATTTTCAAAAAGACCCAATGAACTGTTCCCTACAAGAAACATGCGTTCCCTATAAGAAACATGCGTTCCCTATAAAGACACACATAGACTAAAAATAAAGGGAGGGAAAAAAATATCCCATGCAAATGAAAACCAAAATAGATCAGGAGCAGCTATATTTAGATAAAATAGAGCTTAAGACAAAAAGTATGGAAAGATACAAAGAAAGTTATATAATGCTAAAAGGATCAATTCAGCAAAAGGATATAACAGTTATAAATATATACACACCCAACAATGGAGCACCCAGATATATAAAGCAAACATATTCAGAGCTAAAGAGAAAGACAGACTACAATACAATAATTGTTGGAGACTTAACCACTTCGTTTTCAGCATTGCACAAATCATCCAGACAGAAAATCAACAAAGAAACATCAGACCTAATGGACCTAGTAGATATTTAGACAATTTCATCCAATGACTACAGGTTACACATTCTCCTCAGCACATGGATCATTCTCAAGTATAGACTATGAAATATTAGGACACAAGACAAGTCTTAAAAATCCAAAAAAAGCTGGGTGCATTGGCTCACACCTGTAATCCCAGCACTTTGGGAGGCTGAGGCAGGTGGATTGCTTGAGCTCAATACCTGGGCACCATGATGAAATCCCATCTTTAAAAAAAACACAAAAATTAGCCAGGCGTGGTGGCACATGCCTATAGTCCCAGCTACTCAGTAGGCCAAGATGGGAGTATTGCTTGAGCCTAGAAGGTTGAGGCTGCAGTAAGTCGTGATCACACCACCGTACTTCAGCCTGGGTGACAGAGCAAGACCCTGTCTCAAAAAAAAAAAAAAAGTCTTTCAAATTGAAATCATATCAAGTATCTTCTCTGATCACAATAGAACAAAACTAGAAATCAATAATGAGAAGAACTTTGGAAAGTTACAAACACATTGAAATTTAAAAATATAATACTGAATGACCAGTGGATCAATGAAGAAATTTCTTTTTTTTTTTTTTCCTTTGAGACAGAGTTTCGCTGTTCTTGCCCAGGCTAGAGTGCAATGGCACAATCTCGGCTCACTGCAACCTCCACCTCCCGGGTTCAAACAATTCTCCTGCCTCAGCCTCCTGAGTAGCTGGGATTACAGGCATCCACCACCATGCCCAGATAGCTTTTTTGTATTTTTAGCAGAGACAGCGTTTCACCATGGTGGCCAGGCTGGTCTCGAACTCCCAACCTTGGGTGATCTGCCCACTTCTGCCTCCCAAAGTGCTGGGATTATAGGCATGAGCCACCACCCCCGGCCTGAAGAAATTTCTTAATTAAAATTTTAAAATTCCCTGAAACAAATGATAATGAAAACACAACATACGAAAACATGCTGTAACCTATGGGATACAGTAAAAGCAGTATGAAGAGAGTTTGTAACAATAAACACATACACCAAAAATGTAGAAAAACTTCAGATAACCTAATGATGCATCTTAATGAACTAGAAACGCAAGAGCAAACCAAATCACAAGTTAGCAGAAAAAAAGAAATAGTAAGGATCAGAGCAGAAAGAAATGAAATTTTAAAAACCACAAAAGAGGCCGGGCATGGTCGCTCACACCTGTAATCCCAGCACTTTAGGAGGCCAAGGTGGGCAGATCACCTGAGGTCAGGAGTTCAAGACCAGCCTGACCAACATGGTGAAACCCCGTCTCTACTAAAAATACAAAAATTAGCTGGGTGTGGTGGCAGATGCCTGTAATCCTAGCTACTTGGCAGGCTGAGGCAGGAGAATTGCATGAACACAGGTAGTGGAGGTTGCAGTGAGCCGAGATCGTGCCAGTGCACTCCAGCCTGGGTGACAGAGTGAGACTCTGTCTCAAAACAACAACAACAAAACCCACAAAAGATCAACAAAATGAAATTTCTTCAAAAAGATAAACAGAATTGACAAAGTTTTAATCAGATTAAGAAAAAAAGACATAAGACCAGAGATGCAAAAGGAATGATTACAGCTGATACTCAAAGGATCATTAGAGACTACTATGAGCAACCTAGGCCAATATATTAGAAAACTCAGAATAAATAGATAAATTCCTAGACATACAACCTACCAAGACTGAATCATGAAGACATCCAAAAACCTGAACAGAGAAATAACAAACAATGAGATTGAAGCTGTAATAAAGTTTCCCAGCAAAGAAAAGCCCAGGACTTGATAGCTTCACTGCTGAGTTTTACCAAATACTTAAAACAAAAAACAAAAAAAAAAAACCTAATACCAATCCTACTCAAACTATTCCAAAAAATAGAGGAGGAGAGAATACTTCCAAACTCATTCTACAAGGCCAGTATTACCCTGATACCAAAACCAAGGACACATCAAAAAAAGAGCTACAGACCAATATCTTTCATTAATATTAACTCAAGAATCCTCAACAAAATACTAGCAAACTGAATTCAACACATTAAAGAGATCATTTATCATGAACAAGAGCGATTCATCCCAGGAATGCATGGATGCTTTGACATATGCAAATCAATGATATATATAAACAGAATGAAGGACAAAAAACATATGATCACTTCAGTTGATGTTGAAAAGCACTGGATAAAATTTAACATCCCTTCATGACATGATCCCTCAAAAAACTGGGTATAAAGGAACATTCCTCAACACAATAAAAGCTGTATATGACAGACCCATGGCTAGTATCATACTGAATGGGAAAAAACCCTGAAAGCCTCTCCTGTAAGATCAGGAACATAAAAAGAATGCCCACTTTCACAACTATTATTCTACATTCAACATAGCACTGGAAGTCCTAGCTAGAGCACTCAGAGAAGAGAAAGAAATAAAAGGCATCCAAGTTGGAAAAGAAGACGTCAAATTATTCTTCTTTGCAGATGATATGATCTTTTGGTTGGAAAATCGTAAAAAATCCACCCTAGAAACTATTACAACTGATAAATTTAGTAAAGTTGCAGGATACAAAATCAACATATAAAAATCCAGCAGCATTTCTATATGCCAACAGTGAACAATCTGAAAAAGAAATCAAGTAATCCCATTTACAATAGCTACAAATAAAATAAAATGCCTAGGAATAAACTTAACAAAAGCAGTGAAAGAACTCTACAATGAAAACTACAAAACCTTGATGCAAGAAATTGATGAGGACACAAAAACATGAAAAGATAGTCCATGCTCATGGATTTGAAGAATAATTATTAGTAAAATGCCCACACTACCCAAATTAATCTATGGATTCAATGTAATCCCTATCAAAATACCAGAGACATTCCTCACAGAAATAGAAAAAATTATCCTAAAATTTATATGGAACCACAAAAGACCCAGAATACCCAAAGCCATCCTGAGCAAAAAGAATAAAACTGTAGGAATCATATTGCCTAAGTTCAAATTATACTACAGAGCTATAGTAACCAAAACAGCATGGTACTGAGATAAAAACAGACACACAGACCAATGGAACGGAACAGAGAACCCAGAAATAAATCCATACATCTACAGTGAAATCATTTTCAACAAAGATGTTACAAATATATATTGGGGAAGGGACAGTCTCTTCAATAAATAGTGCTGGAAAAACTGAATATCCACATGCAAAAGACACTAGCCCCCTATCTCTTGCCATATGCAAAAATCAAATAAAAATGGATTAAAGACAAATCTAAGACCTAAAATAATCAAACTACTAAAACAAAACACTGACAAAAGTCTCCAGGACATTGGTCTGGGCAAAGATTTCTTGAGTAATACCACACAAACACAGGCAATGAAACTAAAAATGGACTAATAGAATCATATCAAGTTAAAAAGCTTGGGCACAGCAAAGGAAACAATCAACAAAGTGAAGAGACAATCTACAGAATGGGAGAAAATATAAACTACCTATCTGACAAGGGATTGATAACCATAGAATACACAAGGAGCTCAAACAACTCTATAGAAAAAAATGCAATAATCCAATTAAAAAATAGGCAAAAGATCTGATAGACATTTCTCAAAAGAAGACATACATACACACGGCAAACAGGCATATGAGAAAGTGCTCAACATCACTGATCATCAGAAAAATGCAAATCAAAACTACACGGTATCATCTCACCCTAGTTAAAATGACTTTTATCCGAAAGCAGGCAAAACAAATGCTGGTGAGGATATGGAGAAAGGGGAACCCTTGTACACTGTGGGAATGTAAATTAGTACAGCCACTACTGAGAACAGTATGGAGAGGTTCTTTTATGAAGTAAAAGGGGTGACAGCTGACTGAAGGCTTTCCCACACTTTTTGCACTTTTTAGTGTTTGGAGGTTCCTCCAAACACTAAAAATAGAACTAATATATGCTGAAATCTTACTATCTAAGGTAATGGTATTAGGAGGTAGGGCCTTTGGGAGGTGTTTAAATCACCAACGTGGAACCCTCATGAATGAGATTAATATCATCTATAATCACCTATAATCTCTCTCCCAGAGAGCTCCCTCACTCCTTCCTCCATGTGCAGACACAGCAAGAAGGTGCCACGTATGAACCAGGAAGTGGTCCTCACCAGACACCGAATCTGCTCAGGCATTGATCTTGGACTCCTCAGCCTCCAGAACTGTGAGAAGTAGATTTCTGTTGTTTGTAAGTCACCTAGTGTATGGCATTCTGTCATAGCAGCCCCAGTAGACTGAAACATATGCCGTGGTTCTCTGTCACTCACCAGGAGCCCGGCGTCTTCTTACTGGCTCTACCATCCAGGGCGCTTTCCCTTTCTCCAATAAGGTGATCACATTTGGTCTCCGAAAGGAAAGACCTGTACATGGGACAAACATGGGAAATGATCATAAATATGGGCACCACAGAAGTCAAAGCCACGTTCTGCATCAACAGGAATGCAGGCGTAGTAACATGAAGGGAGCACGCAGGATGTGAAGGGCAGCTGGAGAATGGGGAGTGTGATATTGTGATTTCTAATTAGAAATATGTATTTGCTTTTCACCCCTGTTTCCTGGCACACAGCTCCTTAAACCTTTGGAATCTCCTGCATATGTGCCTTTTGTATGTTAATGAGAAGACTGTGGCTGGGGGCTCCTGGACAGCCTTCAGATGGGGGCCGGTTGCCAACCATGTGATTAGAGGGTTGGAACTTTCAGTCCCACCTCCTGACCTCTGGGGAGGGGTCAGGGGCTGGAAGTTGAGCCGATCACTAATGGCCAACGATTTAATCAACCTTGCCTACCTGAAGCCTCCTTAAAAGCCCCCAGTGGACTGGGTTTGGAGAGCCTCAGGGTTGTTGACCACGTGGAAGGTGGTGCAGTAGAAGGTGCATGCTCTGTGCCCCTCCCCTATAACCTGTCCTCTGCATCTCTTGCATCTGGCTGTTCAACTGCATCCTCTGTAATATCTTTTACACTAAACTGGTAAGCATAAATAAAGCGTCTCCCTGAGTTCTGAAAGCTACTCTAGCAAATGACTGAACTTGAGGAGAGGGTCATGGGAATCCCCGAATTTAGAGCTGGTCAGTCGGAAGGCCTCTGAAGTAGGGGACAGTCTTGTGGGACTGGGCCCTTACCCTGTGGGATCTGACACTATCTCCAGGTAGACACTGTCAGAATTGAATTGGAGGACACCCCGCTGGAGTCTGCTGGAGAACTGTTTGTTGTGTGTGGGAAAATCCCCAAACATCTGGTGTTAGAGTGTGCGGTGTTGAGTTTGGTTGTTTAAATCTCACACGTGGAGGCAGAAATCTAAATTATAGCCAGTAGAGTTGTTAAACTTTAATTCTACAAAGGAAACTATTTTCCTGAGAATTAGGTCAGAAGCTCCTGAGGCTGGTTATGAACTTACTGTCTTTCTGCTCCAGACCCCCACCCTTTTATTGTCTGTTTTGTGTGCCAGGGCTGGGGCTTTGCTATCTTCACTTCTGCTTCACCAGCTGCTTCCTGTCAACATCCACCAATAACGGGCTTTGCTGGTTTCAATGTTTGGGTTTTTTTTAGTTCTGTATTCCCAGAACCAGTTTCATCTGGCCCCTCAGAAGTATAAACAAATCAGGCAGCACACTGCCCCCTCCTTCAGAAGTCTGAGTCCCAGATCCAAGGAGACCTTCCTTGAAGCCCTAAAAACCCTAAACTCTTCCCTTTGTCCCTCCAACCCCAGGGATGGTGGCAGCATCCTGCAGTTACATCAGTGTCCACAGTTCACCATTCAACAACATCTCTTAAATCAATTCCTTAAATTCTATCAAAAGAGGGCCGGGCACAGTGGCTCACACCTGTAATCCCAGTATTTTGGGAAGCTGAGGTGGGAAGATCACGAGGTCAGGAAATCGAAACCATCCTGGCCAACATGGTGAAACCCCGTCTCTACTAAAATACAAAAAATTAGCCAGCTGTGGTGGAGCACGCCTGTAATCCCAGCTACCTGGGAGGCTGAGGCAGGGGAATTGCTTGAACCTGGGAGGCGGAGGTTGCAGTGAGCAGAGATCGCGCCACTGCACTCCAGCCCGGAGATGGAGATAGAGCAACATTCTGTCTCCAAAAAAAAAAAAAAAAAAGTCTATCAAAAGAACTCAAAAGTTACCTACAGAGTTTCCTATGACCCAGCAATTCTACCCCTAAGTCTATACCTCAGAGAAATGAAACCATACATCCACACAAAAAACTTGTACATGTTCATAGCAGCATATCAAAATAATGAGAGTGGAAACAACCCAAATGCCCGTCAATTAACTGATGACTGGATAAACAAATGTGGTCTATCCATACAATACATATTATTTGACAATGAAAAGAAATGAGGTATTGGCACATGCTACAACGTGATGAACCTCAAAAACATCGTAAATGAAAGAAGCCACGTATTTATGATTTCACACGTATGAAAGGACCAGAACAGGCATATCCATAGAGATGGAAAATGGACTAGTAGTTGCCCAATCCGGGGGGTATGAGTGTTGGGGGAGACGAAGAGTGACTGCTTATGGGTACTGGGTTTTGGGGTGGGAATAATGAAAATATAATCGATTGTGGTGATGGATGCATAACTCTGAATATACTATTATAAAAACCATTTAATTGTGCCCTTTTTATGGGTGAATTGTATAGTATGTGAATTATATCTCAATAAAGCTCTTTAAAAACAGAAATTGCAGTGGTTTCCATTTTCCAGACCAGACCCAGAGTGATGCATGTCCCTCAGTAGGCTGGTTCTGGATTGTTGGGGAAGAAGAGCCTTACCAAGCGAGACCAGGTTCCGGTAATTCTCCAACATGACATCTTCATACAAATCCTTCTGAATGGGGCTCAGCCATTCCCACTCCTCCTGGGAGAAGTAGATGGCTAAGTCCCCAAATGTTATAGGTGCCTGAAATGAAAAATCAAATGTCTATTCACCATGGACTTGTGCTTCCACGTGGCTGGAGGAAACGGTGCACACATCTTAAACATGGGAGACACGAGGTACCAAGAATCATTCAGGAAGCATTCAGGGTTCTGAGGCCAAAAGGGGCACGTGTGTTAAATAAATTAAATAAAATACAATAGAAGACATAGCTGTTATTAAAATCATGTTGCATTAAGAACACGCGGCAGCCTGGATTGACCAGGCATTTACAAAGTCCAGGCATTCTTCTAAGCACCTGACTGTGCTGGTTCACTTAGTGCTCATGTGAATCAGTGACAGAGGCACTGTCAGCAGAATCACAGGATGTTACAGATGAGGAAACGGAGGCCCAGAGACAGAAGAAAACTTCCTGCAGGTCTCACAGCTAGTAAATGGAGAAGCTAGGGTTCAGCCCAGATAGTGTAGCTCCCGATTTAATCTCCTAACCACATGCTCTCCAAGAAACCTGTGAATATGTTACACATGACAAAAGGTTCTTTGAGGGTACAATCAAGGTTACTGACCACTTGACCTTGGCGGATTATCTCAGACTTGACCTGGCCAGTTGGTTATTGGTTCTTGCTGTTTTGAAGATGAAAAATGAGGGTCAGGTGGAAAGTGTGAGAAAGAACTGAATCTGGCCAATAACCAGCAAGCTTGGAAGAGGACCTGAGCCCCAAATGAGAACACAGCCGACCGACACCTTGATTTCAGCCCTGTGAACTCCAAAGCAGATGACCCAGCTAAACCACGTTGTGCCTGGACGCCAACCACAAAACTGCATGATAATAAACACGTGTTGTTTTGAGCTGCCAAGTTTGCAGCTGATCTGTTACGGCAGCAAGGGGGAACTAATACACATAACTGAAAGCAAACACGCTTGTTATGGGAAACTGCATTTGAGATGCCTGTTGTAAAAACCACTTGATGATTGACAGTGGTGGAGCATGCTGACCACAGGAGGCTGCCCATACCACCTCAGTGCCTGCACCAATGCACTCAATGGAATAGCAGGGCTATGTGGTGTCTCTGAGTCTTGGGACCTTAGCTGGAGAGATTTCCTCCATGTAAATATGGGTTTTACAAGGAGAAACAAAACCACACAACAAGACTAACTCCAGAGCACATGTCAAATCCCTTCTGCTACTGCAGGCCCCACCTGGGCATTTATCTCCATGCTGAGAAATCACAGTGGCTCTCATCTTCCTCCAGAGAGGATGACATTTCTCCCGGTACTAGCAAAGCCCCTAGAAATATTGAACCAACAGGCAAGTGGCCATGTGCACACTGGGGAATGGAGAGAGGCCCGCTGGGCAGTTTCCTGGCTGCTAGGCCCTTCTCAGGCTCTCATCCCCCATGGCAATGGAAGAAAACCAAGGGCTAGGTGTTGGATGTCTACCTCCAATAGGCAACAAGTCTCTGTGGAAGGAAAGCAAATGGTCCACATCTCATAGGACACGATGGGATGTTCCTGAAGAAACAGGAATTGCCACTTACCTTGGATTTGGATTTCCCCCGTGCAGCTGGCATCCCTTCTCCCCCTTTAAGGTCCACACTCAGAGAGGGGCAGAGAGCTGGTAACGCAGGGCTGTGGGGAGAAGACAGGTCATGAGGCCAACTGGGTCTTTTGGGCAGTGCCAGAGTGCACAGGCCCCTAACCTGGAGGCACACACACACACCCAGACGCACACACAGATGTCAGAACACCTGGCGCATTTCTGTCCCCCCTCACCCTCTCACAGTCAGGGAGGGGCACGGCCAACACTTTTTGTGCCTGAGATTGCAGCAGGTTCTTCATCAGGAGGCAAATAAGGACTGTACAGACCTCTGGCCATCCATTTGACAAGTATTTACTGAGCACCTACTAGGTGTCCAGCTGTCTCAGGTAGTGGGGAGACAGCAGTGAGTTACAGTGGAAGAGTGCCGGCTCCCAGGCACCTTACATTCCAGTAGGGAAAGCAAGTCCATATAAAGAACAATGATAGGCTGGGTGCTCAGGCCTGTAATCCCAGCACTTTGGGAGGCCAAGGTGGGTGGATCACGGGGTCAGGAGATTGAGACCATCCTGGCTAACAAGGTGAAACCCCGTCTCTACTAAAAATACAGCGACTTGGGAGGCTGAGATAGGAGGATTGCTCGAGCCTGGGAGGCAGAGGTTGCAGTGGGCAAAGATCATGCCACTGCAGTCCAGCCTGGGTAGCAGAGTGAGACCCTGTCTCAAAAACAAAGCAAAACAAAACAAAATTAACTCTAATGATAAATGTGTTGCTTTTTACCCTTTCCAATGTAGCTACTGGCAAATGTAAAATTATATGCCTCACATTATGTTTCTGCGAGGCAGTGCTGCCCCATGCTCTAGTATTGTATTGCCCCATTTTCCACACAACACTTACCACTTTCCGAAAACAGCTTGTTTATGTGGGTGTTTATGTGGGTAGTACCTCCCACCTCCCTACACACACACAGTGATCTGGGATGGAAAGCGGAGACTTCGTTTTGTTCGCCGCTCTCCTCCCAGGGCTGAGAACCGACCTAGCACAGAGCAGGTGCTCAGTAAACACTTGTTGACTAACTCAACCAAATCCTCAGTGTGCTGAAACCCCATCCCAGAGACACAGTTCTGCCGTGGCCATTCCCTGGCCCAAGGTGTGAGCATGACTACCGGCTGGGTCCTGGGAGGCTCTCGAGAATGCTGGAACCTGGGAGGTGGCCCTGCAGACTCCGAAACATAAGCCAGTAAGAGGTAACCCCCACCTCTTGTTAGAGCTCTTGTGAGAGGGATCCCTGGTTACCAGGCCTCTGGTTTAATAAAACATGACCAGGGTGACTCTGTCTTAAAGTGAGTAGCTAGACGTTCACAAGGCCCCCGCTATAAGGTTCATGCTTACAGTCTGAAAATAGCCACTTCCTGAGTTGACCACCTATTATAATTACAGAAAGTTTATGGACACACAGAACATCTCCCACCAAGCCTGCAGAATGTCCAGGTGTCCTGAGAGTGCAGCCCACTTTACTCAGAGATAACATCAATGACCAGGCTTCGGTTGAAGGATGAATGGTAATTGATAGCACAAATAGCCCCTACCTTTAGTGAGCTCATCTGCACATTCCAGGTTTAATGATAGCTGTTTACAGTTTCCCATTCCTTCTCCTGCTTTCTGAGAACACCCTACTCTGTAACAGAGTAGTTTCCAATAAACTTGCTTCTTTCACCATGCTGACTCACCTTGAATTCCTTCCTGCGCAAGATCCAAGAAACCTCTCTTATGGTCTGGATTGGGACCCTCTTTTCCAGCAACACTCACTGGGCAAGAAGGGGTGGGGTCCCATGCGGGTAAGCCATGGTCCAGGAGGGGCCTCTAATTAGCACTGTGTACCACGCCGGCCACGTCAGGCTAAGGGGGATACCTGACTTCATCTGCCTGGGAATGGGGTGGGGGGACGAGGGCACTGGGGCATTAGTGACTATGGCAGACCAGAGTTATGGCCCCCAAAAAGAAGATATGGACATCCTGATCTTCAGAATCCATGAATATGGCACCTTACATAGCAAAAGGAACTCTGCAGATGTGATGAACTTAAGGATCTTGGGGGCGGGGGACATTATCCTGAAAATAGAAAAAACACAAACTGTTTTTCCTTTGCTCTCACACCACAGCAATCAATACAGAAGACTTCCATGACCACATGTGTGAGGAATTTTCCCCACACCCCCAGCTGGGCATCCTCCAACTCAATTCTGACACTATGTTCCTGGGGATACAATCAGATCCTAGAGCTTGAGGGCTCAGCCCCCAAGACTGCCCCACGTTCAGATGCAAGTCCGGACTTCAGGAACATGCGACTGGCTGGCTTTAAGCTGGGGTTCCCACAGTCCCCTTTTGGGTTCAATTAATAATAATTTGCTAAAGCGGCTCACAGAACTCAGGCAAATACTGACATTTACTGGTTGATGATGAAGGCTATTCTGAATAATACAGAGGAAGAAACGTGTAGAAATACAAGGTATGTGTGAGGTGGTGTGGCGCTTCCATGCCTTCCTTGGGAACCCTCCAGGAACCTCCACGTGTTCAGCTATCCAGAAGCTCTTCAAACCCTGTCCTTCTGAGTATTTATGGTGGCTTCATTACACAGGCAAGATTAAATTACTGGCCCTTGGTGATCGACTTAACCTTCAGTCTTTCTCCCCTCCCCGAAGGTTGGAGGGTGGAGCTGAAAGTCTCAACCGTCTAGTCCTGCCTTGGTCTTTCTGGTGACCAACCCCATCCTGAAGCTACCCAGGGGCTACCAGCCACCAGCCATCTCATTAGCATACAAAAGACGTAAAAGAAAAGGGCATGGTGGCTCACGCCTGTAATCCCAGCACTTCAGGAGGCTGAGGTGGGCAGATCACTTGAGGTCAGTAGTTCAAGACCACCTTGGCCAAAATGGGGAAACCCCGTCTCCACTAAAAGTACAAAAATTAGCACATGCCTATAATCTCAGCTACTTGGGAGCCTGAGGTAGGAGAATCGCTTGAACCTGGGAGGCAAAGGTTGCAGTGAGCCAAGATCGCACCACTGCACTGCAGCCTGGGTGACAGAGCCTGGGTGACTCTGTCTCAAAAACAACAACAAAAACTCTGGACCCCAAAATCACTAAGCCAAAGGGAAGTCAAGATGGGAACTGCTTCAGGCAAACCTGCCTCTCATTTTATTACTAACCACATACCTCCCTCACAGTTTGCCCACAAGGAAATCCTTTATGGACAAAGGACACACAGAATTCATGAGACAAACACGCATCTGATTGCTTCCTCTGCCCTATTTCACTAAGCCAGACTAAGGCATACGTGACTACTCCTCTACCCTCCTCTCACATGTAAACTGTGTATTCAGTGAAAGGCTAATCAGAGACTCAAGGAATGCAACTGTCTCTTATCTACCTATGACCTGGAAGGCCCCTCCCTCACTTTGAGTTGTTCCACCTTTCCGGACCAAACCAATGTACATCTCACATATACTGGCTGATGTCTCATGTCTCCCAAAACCGTATAGAACCTAGCTGTGCCCCGACCACCTTGGGCACGTGTCAGGACCTCCTGAGGCTGTGTCACGGGTGTGTCCTTAGCCTTGGTAAAATAAACTTTCTAAATTGAGACTTGTCTCCGATATTTTGGGTTCACAGACATCACTTTGGAAATTCTAAGATTTCAGGAGTTGTATGCCAGGGAAGAGGTTAAAGGCTAAATAGATAGTTCTCAACAGCATAATCTTGGATTGCCCAAGTGGGCTCAACATAATTACAAGGGTCCTCTTTATAAAAGGGAGGCAGGAGGATGAGAGTCAGAGAGAAAAAGAAATTGCAAGATGGAAGCTATGCTGCTGGCCTTGGAGACGAAGGAACACCTGCTGACGCGGCTTCATAGCTCTGCCTTTCAGAACTGTTAAGAGAATACATGAGTGTAGCTTGAAGCCATTAAGTTTGTGGTAATTTGTCACAGCAGCAAGAGGAAATGAACACAGTGACCCTTCCACCATCTCCTTCCAGTCCTCATGCCCAATAAATGGGCTTCTTTGGCTTTGTCAGTGATCAGGTGCTGAAAACATCGGTAATTCAGGGGAATCACAGGGCTACGGTGAGATGAAGAGGTAGACTGGTGATCGCTGAGGTCGGCCTGTGAGGCCACTCCAAGAGGCAGAAAGGAGCCCCGAAACACCAGCCCTGCCTGCCTCCCTCTTGGACGCACGCGCGCACACACACGCATCCAGAGCTCCCTCACGCTGAAGAACCGCAGGGTCCTGCCTTGTTTTAGCCAGAGGGAAGGGCCAGGCGGCCCCCAGTGGTGGTAAACACATCACTCTGGGGTCAGATCACCTGAGCGTGGCAAGTGTTCCTTCAGCTGTGTTACCCTAGGCAAGCCACTGGACCCCTCTGTGCCGCAGGTTCCTCACCTCTCAACTGGGGACAATTCAGAACCTACTTCTGGAGGGAGTTGTATGAATCAAGAATCACATTCGGGTCCCACACCCCCACCCCCAAGCCGGTGCTTCCCTGCTAGTCCCTGAAGGGGCTGCCACAGCCCCACCTCACTTCCTTCAGTCTGCTCAAACCTCACCTTCTCAGCAAGCCTCACTAACCATTCTATTTAATAACGCAAGCTGCCCCCACCTACCCTTCACAGCTGGTTCAGATATTTCTTTTTTCAGTAGCTCTTATCATGGTGTAACTCGCTGCACAATTTGCTTATTATGTCTAGTGCTTACCGTCAACCGTCCCGAGGACGGGTGTCTCTATTCCAAGTGCCTTAGACCAGCATCCAGCACACGGAAAGGGCTTAAGTGTTTGCTAATTGAATGACTGAACGGCTCTGTAATAAATATTAACTTTCTTTACCAGCACTTTTTCAAGGAGCCTTTCCTCACCCACTAAACCGGGGTAGGGCTATCCTTCGCATGTATCAGGTGCCACTTCTTCACAGGGGAAACACGTTCCATTGTGAGCACATCTGCCTTCTGGCTTCACCTCTTGTCCTTCACTGGACAATGAGTTGACCAATGTTCTCATGTGTGTAGCTGTGTGATCCTGAGCAAGTTACTGAACCTTGATGGGTCTTTATCTCCCCCCTTTACATCTGCAAAGGGAGGACAAAGGGCTGTTGGAGGATGAGATGAGATCATATCAGTCAATGCTCCATTAAGGTAAACTGTATTTACCATCATTGCTGTTGAGGTTACAAGTGCCAGGTGGGGCCAGTTCTGTGGGATGTGAGTTTGGTAAAAAGTCACATTGACCGTCCTTTGCCCACGTGCTCTATGCATGTGCTCAGGTGTGTGTGTTGAATGTACCCCATGCCTGGGCAGCGACATCACCTCTGCAGTTAACAACGATGAGAATAAAAGCTGTGCTGGATCCTTTATATGCATTACACCATCTCCTTTAACCTTTAATGGCAAACCAACCACCCAGGGTTCCCATTTTCCATCGCGAGGGTGAGAGAGGGATGATGACCCACCTGTTGTCACAGAGCTTTAGCTGATGGAGCCTGGATTTGAGGCCCTATCCACAAGCTGCACACACTGCACTCCTCACACGGGGCAGAAGTCCACTATCCACCCTGGCAGGGTACAGGAGGCGTCAGTGTGGTGAAATGCTTACTGAAAACATCCCCACGTTTCTGTCATAGTAGAGTGGCCACAGGAGTTGGGGAAAATTTGAGCATATCATGTTAAGACTGAGGAGCGAGGGCTCGGTGACGAACTGAGCAGACTGGCCTTCGATTCTGACTTTTCTGAGCGAGGCTTCCTTCGTACAGAGATGGGGACCAAGGGGCCTGCCCTGAATCCTGGACACCTGAATTCTGGGCTGTGTTAGACCCTAGGACAGTGGTGTGCTGGGGAATGTTTAACAAGCAGCTTGCTGCAGGGGTGATTTATAGTGTTTACTAACTTCCACGGAGTAAATCCTCTGATATCATTTGGCTCTGTGTCCCCACCCAAATCTCATGTTCAATTGTAATCCCCAGTGTTGGAGGTGGGGCCTGGTGGGAGGTGACTGGATCATGGGGGTGGATCCTTCGTGAATGGTTGAGCACCATCCCTTTGGTGCTGGTCTCAGGAGTGAGTTTTCACGAGATCTAGTTGTTTAGAAGTGTGTCGCATCCCCCCCACCCCTGCCTCTTTCTCCTGCTCCCACCATGTAAGACACCTCCTCCCACTTTGCCTTCTGCCATGAGTAAAAGTTTCCTGACGCCTCCCTGGAAGCTGATGCTTCCTGTACAACTTGCAGAACCGTGGGCCAATTAAACTTTTCTTTTTTTTTTTTTTTTTTTTGAGATGGAGTCTCGCTCTGTCGCCCAGGCTGGAGTGCAGTGGCCGGATCTCAGCTCACTGCAAGCTCCGCCTCCCAGGTTTACCCCATTCTCCTGCCTCAGCCTCCCAAGTAGCTGGGACTACAGGCGCCCGCCACCTCGCCCGGCTATTTTTTAGTGGAGACGGGGTTTCACCGTGTTAGCCAGGATGGTTTCGATCTCCTGACCTCGTGATCCGCCCGTCTCGGCCTCCCAAAGTGCTGGGATTACAGGCTTGAGCCACCGCGCCCGGCCTAAACTTTTCTTTATAAATTACCAGTCTCTCTGGCCGGGCGCGGTGGCTCAAGCCTGTAATCCCAGCACTTTGGGAGGCCGAGACGGGCGGATCACGAGGTCAGGAGATCGAGACCATCCTGGCTGACACGGTGAAACCCCGTCTCTACTAAAAAATATGAAAACTTAGCCGGGCGAGGTGGCGGGCGCCTGTAGTCCCAGCTACTCGGGAGGCTGAGGCAGGAGAATGGCGTGAACCCGGGAGGCGGAACTTGCAGTGAGCTGAGATCCGGCCACTGCACTCCAGCCTGGGCGACAGAGCGAGACTCCGTCTCAAAAAAAAAAAATAAAAAAAAAAAAAAAAAAAAAATTACCAGTCTCAGGGATTTCTTTATTAGCAGTGTGAGAACGGACTAATACACACTCCCACCACAGCAGGCTGTAAGCTACTGAACTGCCGTCACTTGGCATGGGGCTGAATGGCTTGGGTGAGCCAGCTCCAGCACACCACTGCTGCAGGGCCTTCGCGAACAAAGCCCTATTCTTTGCCTGGGAATTCTCAAACTTTGGGCAGATATCCCTGAAGAGTACAGGAGGGCTGATGCCGATTTCTATGGTTTGCGGTAAATCCCAAAGCAGCTGCCCATAACAGAAAACTCTTTTGACTTCTTGTTTTGAAACATGTCCATTTGTGCATACTACTTCAGAAGAAATCTGGGTTTGGGTTAATGTAAAAATCATGTTTTTTTTTTTTTTTTTTTGAGGCGGAGTCTCGCTCTGCCGCCCAGGCTGGAGTGCAGTGGCCGGATCTCAGCTCACTGCAAGCTCCGCCTCCCGGGTTTACGCCATTCTCCTGCCTCAGCCTCCTGAGTAGTTGGGAGTACAGGCGCCCGCCACCTTGCCCGGCTAGTTTTTTGTATTTTTTGGTAGAGACGGGGTTTCACCGTGTTAGCCAGGCTGGTCTCGATCTCCTGACCTCGTGATCCGCCCGTCTCGGCCTCCCAAAGTGCTGGGATTACAGGCTTGAGCCACAGCGCCCGGCCAAAAATCATGTTTTAAATGATTTACCAGATAAGCAGATCACTTGGCTTTCCCTGTCCAATTACTCAGGTAAAATGACTTGTTCCAGAAAGTTGTAATGCATTCATCCTGCAGTTTTCACAGGTGTTTGCACTCAGTCACGCACCCCAAATTTGAGAAGCATGATTCTTGTCTGATATGGTCTGGCTGGGTCCCCACTCAAATCTCATCTTGAATTATGGCTCCCATAATTCCCACGTATGGTGGGAGGGACCCGGTGGGAGATAATTGAATCATGGGGGCAGTTTCCCCCATGCTGTTGTCATGGCAGTGAGTAAGTCTCATGTGATCTGATGGATCTGGGTTCTGTACAGGAAACCCTTTCCGCTTGGCTCTTCTCATGGCAGTAAGTCTCATGTGATCTGAGGGTTCTGGGTTCTGTAAGGGAAACCCTTCTCGCTTGGCTCTCCTTCTCTCATTCTCCCTGCGGCCACGTAAGACGTGCCTTTCACCTTCCGTCAGGATTGTGAGGCCTCCCCAGCCACGTAGAACTGAGAGTCCGGTATGTCTTTATCAGCAGCGTGAAAACAGACTCATACACTGTCCATAAAACAATTTTCTTCAAGGAACTCGGCACTACTGGGGAAGAAAGAACAGCAGTTTGATATTAGATAATCCTGGATTCAAAGCTTGCGTCTGCCAATTACTGGCTGTGAAAAAGTTACACAAAGCCTGTTTGCTCATCTATACAATGGGGTAAAGAAAACCTACCTCACCTCTGCTGTTAGGATATTTACATGTGATGTCTTTGGTAACTGGAACATGGTCATTGCTTGCCTTCCTTTTCCTCTTCAACTTACAATACAGTGGACCCTTGAGCCACATTAGTTTGAATTGTGAGGGTCCACCTATATGCAGATGTTTTTCAAGGGAAGTTACACTGAGTGTGCCTACCTCTCCTGCCTCTCCTTCCAGCTCCTCCACCTCTTCCACCTGTGAGACAGTAAGACCAGCCCCTCCTCTTCCTCCTCAGCCTACTCAACTTGAAGGCCATGACTATGAAAACTACTCCTACTTAATGAACAGTAAATATATTTTCCTTATGATTTTCTTAATAACATTTTCTTCTATCTTATTGTAAGAATAGGGTATGTAATACATGTAACACACAAAATATGTGTTAACAGATTGTTTAGGTTATTGCTTAGGTGCCAGTAAAGTGACCATTAGACTATCAGAACTTAACTCTTTGGGGAGTCAAAACTATATGTGGATTTTCTACAGTACAGGGGGTTGGTACCACTCACCCCTGCACTGTTCAAGGGTCAACCACATACCACGCATCCAAGAGACCAACAAAGACTAAGACCCACTAAAAAGGCTGAGATTAGAATTCTTATCTAGTGCTGGAGGAGAGAAATTGGTGTAACCTCAATGGAGGGCAATTTGGCAATGTCTTTAAGACTGAAGATACACATTCTTCACCCCCGTTATACTCTTTAATCCAGCAATCTTATTTCCTGTACATGTCTTCAGATGTCTTTGCACATGTGCACAATGAGAGACACACAAGGGTATTCACCGTGGCAGAGTTTATAGAAAGAGGCAGTACATTTCCTTGGGTAAGGGTGTGGGCCTGCAGCAGGCTGTCTAGGTTCAGTATTTAACTCTGCCATCCGCTATCTGTGTGGACTTAGACACTCTACATGTCCTCTCCCGGGCTACGCTTCCTCATCTGCAAGATGTGACAAAACACAGTAATGACTTCACAGGGTTGTGGTGAAGATTAAATGAGTCAAAATATGCAACACATTTAGAGGAGTGCCAGGAAGCAGGGTCAATGCTAAGAATTTTATTATCACTACCACCATCAGGAGACTGGAAACAACCTAAGGGCCCATCAATAGGAAAATGGTTCAGTGAATATTACATGCATATAATGAGATACCACGTATTAAAAGGAACAAAGTAGAACCACAGTAGTGATTCCTAATTGGGGGTAATTTTGCCCCCCATGAGAAAATTGCAATGTCTGAGGCTGTTTTTGGTTGTCACATCTGGGAGGTGAGGTGCCCCTGGCATCCAGTGAGTGGTGGCCAAGGATGCTGCTCACCATCCTGCAATGCACAGGACGGCCCTCCAGAGCAGAGAAGGATCTGGCTCAAAACATCAACTGTGCTAAGGCTGAAAAACCTCCAAGATAAAATGGTATAAGGGGAAAAATACAGAAAAGCCATTTAGAAAAACCAAAATATAGTATACAAATACATGACTTTGAAAAGGCGCTGGAAAGATAAACAAAAAGTTTGTAGCAGTGACTGTCCCTGAAGAAAGGAACCAGGTTGTATGTGTGGGAATCCACATATATAACATATTTTGGATTTGGAAAAATCCAAAACCCGCTTTTTGCTCTCTATGCTTTGTTTTTGTGTCATGAACGTATAATTACATCTTCAAAACAACAAACGAAATAAAAGAAGGCTGGGTCGCACATACCACATCAAGGCAGGGCTGTAAACCTGGCTCATCTTCTGAGTCCCTGATGATAGATGAGAAAGGGCTTTGAAAGGCACAAAGCTACGTCTTCCTGAGGTGAGGACGGCTGGAACATGCTTCAAAGAGCTACTGAACAGTAGTTGTGCCTCCCCTCTGAGGCAAATAACTGAGGGAACTTCCCCTCCTGCCCTGGCACCCCTTTGAGCCTGGGGGGCTGTGCTGGGTATTGAACTGGGGGAGGGTTCTGATATACTGAAAACCAGCCATTAAATGCACTGCCACAGCCTCACTGCCTCCTTTGGGCCAGTCAGCTATTGCTGTACCAGCTGTCAAATATTCAAAGATCACTCCTGGCCTGAACCTGCCAGTCCCAGAGGCCAGGAACGTATGTATGCAATTTCACCAAAGACCGCAGCACAGCTGTTACAGGAAGAACACAGGCTATGCATATGCATGTCTAGCCTGCCATTTCCCCACTTTGTGTGGGAACAGATTAGGTTTCCTCACTTGCAGGATGGGGCTAGGAATATCCCTACTGCAGGAAAGTGCAGCTCTGAGGACTGTTTTTGATAAGATATCCAAGCAGAGGTCACTTGCATCCTCCCCCTGACTCCTCCAAATCAATTTATCTCATTCCCAGAGGCCCCAAAGGAGCCTGGGCTGCAGGCACTCAGAGTCGTAGCTCTCAACTCTGTGCGTACCTTAGTCTCTTGGGAGCTTTCTAATAAATAGTGACAGCTGATGGCAGTTCACTATGCCAGACCAAGTAAATCAGAATCTCTGGGGATTGAGTCTGACCCGCCTTTTTATTTTATTTTATTTTTTTAATACAGCATTCCAAGGTGACAGTAACGTGAAGCCATCATTTGGAATAACGTTTGAGTCTCAGAGTCTCAAGGGCAGAGCTAGAGATCTGACCTGTTTCTGATGAAGTCCAGACCTCAGTGAAGAGAAAAGTCTTCGGTAAGATCAAAGTCAAACTCTTAGATTCCCTAATCAAGGGATTCCAGAGGGTCACTGCTGGTGGCCATTCCTGGCTCTGGAGTTGACCAAGATGCCCATGGGAGACCTGGATGTTGACTCTGAAAAAAACACCTAACAACGCCTGGTAATCCTTTTACCCTGCTTTCCTTTTCAAAATACCTATCGGCACCTATTATAGACTTTATTTTTGTCTCTCCCACTAAATGCAAGCTCCAGCTGAGTAGAAACCTTGCCTGTTTTGTTTAGAGACTAGCACAGTGCCCAGTCCATGGTAGGCACTCACTGGTTGAACGAATGAATGCATCTCGGAGCTTACCCAGGCTGCAGGCCATGAACACCTTTCTTCTCATCTCAGAACACTATCCCTTTATCATCTCTTCCCTCCCTGCCTTCCCCAGCTCCCTTACTCTTCTCCCTCTCATCGTGCCCTGGGTCTGTCCATGCTTTTGCATCACCGTCCTCTCAGTCAGAGTGATTTTGCCCCTGCAGAGGACACTTGACAGTGTCTGGAGACATTTTTTTTTTTCGCTTGTCACAATCTGAAGGGAGGTGCGGTGTGCTACTGGCCCGGTAAATAGAGCCCAGGGTTGCTGCACAACATCCTATAATACATAGAATAGCACCCCCTCCCATCTCCCAACAAAAAACTATCTGGCCCCAAATGTCACAGTGACAAGGCTGTGAAACACTGGTCTGGACAGAAACATTTCCAGATCCATGTGTTATATGAGAACATCCCTTAGTCCCTGTCACTTCAAAGTTCTGTTCTTGACCCCATGGGCTCCCTAGGGACATCTCCATCAGGAAGATCCTCTGTTCCTGATCCCACCTCCTCCACCCTACTGCTGCCCTCCCAGGACCCTGACTACACAATTCTGAACCTAAGCCCTGATCTAGACGTCCAAGTTATTTTACCTCTGAACCTGAAACCTTTACTCTAGGCCTCATCTTTTTGCTTTTCTACCTATGGATTTTTTTCTCCAGGTGTGGGATGCCCGCGATTATGCTACTAATAAAACGATGACCATTTATGTGGCACTTCCTTGTGCCAAGTTCTACTTATGCTCACCATAAGCCTGAGGTTGGTTCTGTTATGACTACTGTTTTACAGGAGAAACCGAGGGGTGGTGGACTTAACTAAGCTCTCCCAGTCACAAAGCTAGCCAGTGGTGAAACCAGGAGTCAACACCAGACAGTGGGGCACCACAGTCCATACTCTTGTTTCCAAGCTACGCTGGTAGGAAGGGGACACAACCATACGCAGCGTCAGTGGAGGGCTCTGTCCTCCACTCAAATGCACACATGCAGAAAACAGACGACACAGGTGGTTGGCGGGGACAATGCACCACTGCTCAAATGGAGGTGGTCAGATGCCCTGGTATGTGGACAAAGATCGCCCAGTCCCAAGCTCAGAGATGCAAACTCCTCCAGCATTCACCACTATCTCTGCCTCTGTCTAGGGTCAAAGAAAAACGACCACCAGCACCAAAACCAACACCTAAACACGGTGATTAGTATGTGACAAGGTCTGTCACATGTCAGGGTGTTTCAGCTACGTTATCGCATTTAATCTTCCCAATAACACCCAGGCAGGTGCTATTAATATACTATTGTACCAAGGAGGACTGTCACGCACAATTAAACAGTTCCACAGATTTCCAGGGCAGCCCATCACACCTTAGAGCTGCTCAGAATTCTCCCCCTGCGGGCCTCCATTTCCATGGTTACAGTGCAATATACACCAGAAGGGCACAGTCACACACACACAACCGCAAAGCCACTGACTCTAAGTGGCAGACAGACGCCCAGGCAAATCACACAGTAACCCAAGGCTACAATAAACACCCACATCAGCTTGACACTGACACACACGCACACACTCCCGCAACACAAATCTTCACAGCCAGCGTCACACACCCACTCCCGGCTTCCCACTGTCTCCATTGTTTCCTGCGCGTGGGTCACGCAGCGATACACATCCGCGGTCCCGACATAGCTCCCTCACACACAGGCACACGTGGCGCGCCTCACACGCGGGCGCACAAACCCCGAGAGCCACAGCAGCGAAAAGGCGCAAACCCCATGCAGTCGCGGGCCCAGAACCCACGCAGGCTCGAGCCCACGGCCCCCGCAAGCACCCGCGCAGACGCCCACGCACGCCCGGGCAGGAACGTCCACTCAGTGGCGGGCGCACCGCCCACGCCCTCAAAGAGACACACGCACACTCTCGCCAGCCCCCTCACCTCGGTCTTCCCAGGCTCCGACCCCAGCGGCGACCACCGTGACAGCCGCGCGGGCACCCAGCGCCTGCGCAATCCCCTCCGGGACCCCCGGACCGCGCGCCGCACCCCCCTTCACACACGCACCACGCAGGCAGGCGCGTAGCCCCGCCCCCAAACAAGGCCACGCGGCGCGCGCTCACCCGCCTCTCGGGGAGGGAGCCACCAGCCCCGGCCTGAGGCCCCGCCCCCTCAACGCCATACGCTCAAGCGCGTTCGCACAATCGGTGCAGTCCTGGGGGCGGACGCTCGAGGCCCCGCGCCTGCGCACACTCCCGGGCCTGGCACGCGCACCGGACTCCTAGGGGACGGGCGCTCGGCCCTGCTTTTCATCCTCTCAGGAGATCACGTGTGGAAACTGAGGCCCTTCCTCGAGCTCTTTAACTAAACGCAACCTCCCCAGTTCGCCGCCTTCCCGGCTCCCACACCCACACGTTCCCGTGTGAGGGCTTATTGCCCCCACCCGCCACCATCCTTCGCCCCCGCATTCACGAGGTTTGGAGCCGGCCTCACCCGCGGACGCGGATGCCCCCATCCGCGCGTGCGCACTACGCAGTCATCCTGCAACTTCCAGAAGCCAGCGGGGTGCAGCGAGGCTGTGGAAGGTCCCACCCACAACGTGAGGTGAAGAAAGCTTGGACTGCGCTGGTTCTGCTCTGTCCGGGTCGGAGATGAACTGACCCGGGAGAGTAGCACAGGGATGTTTCTTTCGGCCGACGGTGAGGACTCACCTGCACGTTTTGCGAAGAGGCCCACAGTCCTTTGCGTGGCGCCCGGACTACATTTCCCAAAGGCCCCTGCGCGGCCTGCGGCTCTTCCTTGCGGTGTTGCGCCTGCGCAGCCGGCGGGCTGGTGGTGAGACTGACTGCGTCGGGGATGAGACGGGGTCGATGAGGCCACCCGGGCTGGGAGAAGCAGCGAGGAGGGGCGGGCAGCGGAAGGTCCGGGAGTGTCCGCCATAAAGTCGTGTGAGGTGACCGTTGCGTAATTGTGAGTCTGTGAGAGAAGATGTGAAGTATGGCCTCGTCCCGGTCATCTGGGCGTGGGTGTCCCGGGTTTTGATCGCACGTTTGTGTAGGTGAGACCCACATTGTGTTACCCTGAACATGTGTGAGGACGAACCTTTGTGTTTCCTTAGACGTGTGTCTCCGAGCCGATTTTTGTGGTTTTGTACGTGGCGGGGGGGGCATTGATTTTGAATATATGTGTATGTTCTGGATATCTGTTTAGCTTCTGCATCCACCTTTACGGAAGCGCAGAGTTGAGTAGGTGGCAACAGGTACTGTGTGACCCCACAAAGCCTGAACTGTTTACTATTGACTCTAGAGCCCAGTTTTTGCGGTGTGTACCTCTCTGTGGGGAACCACTGATTTTGAATATGTATACTTGTGTATATTTACGTCTATTCTATGACTGCTTTTGCACAATGGCAGGGTTCAGTACTTGCAGCAGAAATCTTGTGACCTAAAAGCCTAAAATACTATCCTGCTAAGGTTTCTAGCACTAGCCAGTTTTTGTGATTGAGTGGTGTGTGTGTATGTGTGTGTGTGAGAGAGAAACCAGTGTTTTATTTATTTATTTTTATTATTATTATTTTTTGTGACGGAGTCTCGCTCTGTCGCCCATGCTGGAGTGCAGTGGCGCGATCTTGGCTCACTGCAACCTTTGCCTCCCGGGTTCACGCCATTCTCCTACCTCAGCCTCCCAAGTAGCTGGGACTACAGGCTCCCGCCACCACGCCCAGCTAATTTTTTTGCATTTTCAGTAGAGACAGGGTTTCGTCATGTTGGCCAGGATGGTCTCGATCTCTTGACCTCGTGATCTGCCCGCCTCGGCCTCCCAAAGTGCTGGGATTACAAGCCTGAGCCACCATTCCCGTCCCCAAGTATCTGGAATCTTATTATGACAACGTGTTTGTGTTTGGAACATGAGGGAAAGGAGGAGAGCAGGGGAAGGGAGGGTTTCTGAGCTGATCTTGGGAACTGCAGGACAGACTTGGCATCTTACAACTCCTTTCTTTCTCCCTAACTCTGCCTTCCCAGGACAATTTCTCTTCAAAAAGAGGGATCAGGAGGAAAAAATGAGCAATCAGCTCACTGCAGCACTACTCCTGCCTCAGCCTCCTAATTAGCATGGGACTACACGTGGCTAATTTTTTGTAAAGACAAGTTCTCACTGTGGGGCCCAGGCTGATCTCAAACTCCTAGGCTCAAGCAATCCTCCCACCTTGGTCTTCCAAAGTGTTGGGATTACAGGCATGAGACATGGCACCTTGACAAAAATCACTTTTAAACTTTAAAGTCATGTCCCAAGTAAGTTGGCATTTCCTTCTCCTGTGATTTTCAGTCTTTTCCTTCAGCACCTTGCTGTCTCATCAAGACCCTGTTAGGGTCTTAGTCCTTATTTCTCCCTTTCTGGCAAATGAAAGACCAAAAGGGACGGCTAAAGTAGCCCAGTGCCCTCTGTCGATGTTCTTCTCCACTTAACCATCATGTATGTATTCACTATGAGCATTGTGCCTACGATTCTGGGAATAACTCTGGTGGCTCAGAAATGTACCATCTGTAGAGAAAAAGGGAGCTATCCTTGAGAAGCACATAAGATGATGAGGGATTGATGCCTTGTTATGAGGTACCGTGCCCCAGATAGCTCTAGCCTACTCTTTGAGTATCTGTGAGCTCTGGCTTGCAGTATATTCTAGAAGATTATTTTATTCTTAAAGGATGAGGTCTGGTCAATGGGGACAGGAAATTTGCTATGAGGAATTAAGATTCCATGGAGTAATGAGGTCCTATTTCAAGATGATATTGTGGCCACATCTGTGGAATGCTGGGGTCTTTTCCTATATACAGAGAACAAAAAAAGGCATATTGTTAGGCAGGATAGAATCAATTTCAGAAAAAAATAACCAGGAAAGTTTTAGGAAAAAAGTGGTATTTAGGAGGGTTGAAGCCATTAGATGAAGAAAATATGCTCTTTTAAATAGAATATATCTGCATTGTGGATTTAAAAAAAGAAGCTTTCAGAAGAGTAAATGGTAAGAAGTACTGCCACCTTGACCCAATTCCCTCCCTAAGGCTAATTAACTTTTCATTGCGAGATCATTGTAAACTCACAGGAAGTTGCAAAAGTAGTACCTTTCACCCAGCTTTCCCCAGTGGTAACATTCTACATGACAGTAATATAATATCAAACCAAGAGATTGATATTGGTACAGTACTGATGACTTGACTACAGACCTTATTCAGACTTTACCACTTTGAATATGTACTTGTTCATTTTATTAGGGTTTTGCCATTATTATACTCATGATATTAAATCCCTTATCTAAGAATACGATGTGTGTTTCCATTCATTCAAGTCTTTTAACTCCATTGGTAGGGTTTTCAAAGTTTTCATAAAGGTCCTGTTGAGTATATTACCAGATATTTTCTTCTCTGTTATTGTAAATGGTGTCATTTTACTCTTCCTATTTTCTATGTATTTTGTATGGTGCATGTATTAGTCTGTTCTTACATTGCTACAAAGAAATACCTGAGACTGGGGAATTTATAAAGAAAAGAGGTTTAATTGGCTCATAGTTTTACAGGCTGTATAGGAAGCATACTGGCTTCTGCTTTTGGGGAGACCTCAGGAAATTTCCGATGGGGGAGAAGGCAAAGGGGGAGCAAGGAGTCTCACATGGCAGGAGCAGGAGCAAGAGAAAGGTGGGAGTAGGGGAGGTGCCACATGCTTTTAAACGACTAGATCCCACAAAAACAAACTCACTATCCTAAAGACAGTACCAAGGGGGTGGCGCTAAACCATTCATGAGAAACCACCGCCATGATCCTGTCACCTTCCTCCAGGTCCCACCTCCAACATTGGCAACTACCATTCCACATGAGATTTGGTGAGGACACAGATAAACCATATCAGTGTATTATTTATTTTTTGGATCGTATATCTTATTGTAAACATAACACAACTTATTTAACTCTTACTATCACGTAGGTTTTTTTGCCTTAATTCTGGCTATCATAACCAATGCTATCCCGATCCATTTTTCAGCTGATTTTGACCCTCATCTGTAATTATTTCCTTAGGATCCATTTCTATATATTTTTCTTTCCAATTACATTGGAGCATTTTAAACTTAGTTGATCTCCCACTATTTAAAAACTTAATACTATTTGGATGGAACACCAGCAGGGATTTATATATTGTAATTTGAGTCTAGGTCTAAGTAGCCTGTAACATTTGCCTACTGTACAATCTAAGTACTGTAGGAAATAATCACTTCAAATTAATATGCTTCAGTTCATGTCTTTTGCAGGGACATGGATGAAGCTGGAAACCATCATTGTCAGCAAACTGTCACAAGATCAGAAAACCAAACACCACATGTTCTCAATTATAAGTGGGAGTCGAACAGTGAGAACACGTAGACACAAGGAGGGGAACATCACACACCGGGGCTTGTGGGGGTGGGGGGCTAGGGGAGGGATAACATTAGGGGAAATACCTAATGTAGGTGGCGGGTTGATGGGTGCGGCAAACCACCATGGCACATGTATACTTGTGTAACAAAACCACATTCTGCACATGTAACCCAGAACTTAAAGTATAATAAAATAAATAAATTCATATGCTTTTAAAAACACACCTAACAAAAAATGATACACTTGAAAATGAACTTTTTTAGTTGTAATTGTACATTCTAACAAGATAAAGTTAGTTACATAAAGCTTTTTCCTTTTTTTGGCTGTAAAATATGACTCAAACTTGGTAACCTTTTTGCCCTATGATGTATAGGTTTGCTACAGCTGCTATAATAAAGTACCACAGACTGGTGGCTTAAATAGCAGAAATTTGTGGTCTCTTCATGTCATTTTCCCCCATGCATGCGTCTGTGTGCAAATTTCACCTTTAAAATTTTTCCTTTTAATTTTTACAATTTTCTTATTTTTAATTTTTGTGGATACATAGTAGGTATATATATTTAGGGGGTACATGAAATATTTTGAGAAGTTTCCCCTTTTTATAAGGATACCAGTTAGATTAGATTAGAGTCTACCCTAATGACCTCATTTTGATATAACTAATTATATCATAAGGTCACATTCTGAGGTGCAGTGTGTTAGGCTTTCAGCATAAGAATTTGTGGGGACACAGTTTATAACACATGAGAAAAGCTTTTCTAAATGTCTCCATTTTACATCTTAATATAGTGTTGCTAAAGCATAATCCTATTTTATGTAGCATCAAATGTTAAGCTTAGGTTTTTTGGTTTATTTTTGGCTAAGACAGGTTTCATGTGAGGAGAGACATTTTAAAACGTACCCTGGATTTTTAAAAATCAGGTATGGTAAGGTGACAGACATGGAGACAACTGCCTTTGCATGAAGAGTTTATTACTTCCATTTCCCAGCAGAAGGGAGCATGCCACACCATACAGAGCCACATGGGGATGTCTCAAGATTTGGTCAGGAGGCAGAATGAGTGCCTAGGCAGAAGGGAAAAAGCCTAGACCCAGAGCCTTTATCATGTTTTCTTTAGAAAAGGCAGAACCAGGCAGGGGCAACAATTTAGGATTGTCTAGTTTGAGTAATGTTGCCAGACTCTGGGCTATGGGGGTAGTCTCTAGTTGTCTGGTCCTCAGGTTGGTTTAGGGCAGGGGAAATAATGGTTGGTGTATGAGAGTTAGATGAAGATGGTAATTGGGGTTATGGGCTTTGGGTTGGTTGGTTGCATATAAAGGGTATGTTTATGGGCAAGTAGTTTACTGCCTTTAAGAATTAGCTAGCTGTAGGAGGGGCTCTCCCCAGCCAACTACAGCTAGCTCCCCTACCCTAATACGTTGGAGCATAAGAAAA